ATGGCCAATAACTCTCTCTCATTTGTTGCATAGTTAACCTCGCTGTCCTTCAATGTTCTTGAAATCATTGTTATAGGACGACCCTCTTGTGACAAAACTGCACCTATGCCGTGAGCCGAAGCATCGGTCGTTAGATCGAATGGCTTCTTAAAATCGGGGTACCTAAGCATTACATTCTCGGATGACAAAATATCGCGCAATTTCTGAAACGCCCTTTGCTGCACTTCAGAGAATTGAACTTTTATATTTCTGGACCTATGTTTACTGACTGTTCCATTTTCACCCTTCAAGATATTCGAGATGGGTCTTGCTATAGCGGCGAAGTCCCTAATGAAACATCTGTAATAACTTGCGAGGCCTAGAAATGATCTGACCTCGAACAGTGTTTTAGGTTCTGGATACTCTTGTATTGCCCTAACCTTTTCGGGATCCGTCGTGGCGCCAGTGCTGGTGACTATGAAACCAAGAAAGTTCACGCTTTTCTTAAAAAAACGTGATTTTTCGACGGAGACCCTCATGTTTGCTTCAAATAAGCTTTTTAGGACCCAATCCACGTGTTTAATGTGGGATTCCTCATCTTCTGAAAAGATGATTACGTCATCGACATAAACATAGCAGAATTTGCCAATCTGCTCTCGCAGTATGTCGTCGATGGTTCTTTGGAAGATGCTTGCTGCATTCTTTAATCCAAAGGGGAGTCTTTTGAACTCGTATTTCCCCCCGTTCACAGAGAAAGCGGTTTTTTCACGGTCGCGTTCAGCGAGTATGATCTGGTGATATCCAGACTTGAGGTCTAATGTTGAAAAGAATTTGGCTCTTCCCAAATTCCCCAATATCATTGATATATTTGGTATAGGGTATTTGTCAGGCACGGTTCTTTCGTTAAGTTTACGAAAGTCCATTACCAACCTCATTTTCCTATTGCCTGCTTCATCAGTACCCTTCTTGTCTACTACCCATATTGGGTTATTGTAGGGAGAGACGGACTTTTGAATTATATCATTTTTTAGCAGATCTTTGATTTCTTTGTTAACGAAATCAGCTGCTCCCATTGGATATGGGTAAAGCTTGGCATAGATCGGTTGCTCATCTGTGGTCCTAATGGTAGCCACGACTGATGTGTTATACGGCAACGCCTCGTCTGGGTCCGCAAAGGCCTTTTGTCTAGCTTTTAGCATTTTCAAAAAAGAACTTCTAGCTAAAGGGGATGCCTCTGCACAGTCTACATTCGTGAAATTTACATTTTTGCACGTGTGGAAGGTGATTTGTTCGACCTCCGTACCCCACTTAAGTTGTCCTGAAGCTAGACAAAGCGAAGCAGCTGCCTGCTTTAGCAGGTCAAGGCCTACAATCCCATCAAAAGTTGATAAGTCCGGCAGAATAAAAAAGGTTGCCTTTAACCCAAACATTGAAACAAAGCATTTGTGTGTGATTTGTGTCTCGCCGTGAATGGAATGAATTTTAAAGGGGGACTCTACCGAGCGGACGCCTTTCAACCCCTCGTGTGGCCGAATGAAATTCTTGGCCGCGCCCGTGTCTATGAGGAATCGCATGTCAGTCCCTGCTACTCTTCGTCTGATGACGGGTAGCAGGGATTTGCTCCTAAAAAATTGAGGGCTTCAGAGTCATAACTATCGTCATTGATTTGTGCCGCTGCGCTAGAGGCGGCATCAGCATACGCCTCTGCCCCCTGTCCCACGTCTTGTGTGACGTGATTCAGCCTCTGCTGATTCCTCTGACCGCTTGTGCGGTCAGATGCGGGGTGCTTCCTATTCGCGTAAGCAGGGGCCTGAGTGGGCTGCAAGACCCTTGAGAAGGAAGGATCGACCTCCATGGGCACCGGTGCGCCATTATTATTGTGCTGCCTGCTGCTTCGTTGGTCAGACTGCACTGGGGCCCTGCTTTGCTTGCTAAAGTGCGGATTCTTTGTACCGCTAGCTTGTGTTTCGGCTTGTTGCGAATGCCTCTCCTGTTGGTGACCCTGTGCTTTTGCATGCGGCTTGCGCTCTTTGTCTTCTAGACTTTTTGCGAAGTTAGCCGCGAATGCGTACCTTTCATGGTTTGACTCGACTTCTTGTGCGAGAGCTAGTGCTGAAGGCAAATCTCTGGGCTTTGCTGCAAAGAGCACGTCTGTAAGACTGCGCTTGAGACCCGATATGAACACACGCAACGCATCGTCGCGGAATTTTTCACATAGGCCCTTTGCTAAAGCCGGCTCATATGACATGTTAACTTTGTTAGTGAGAAGAGCGAGTTTCTTCTCCACCTCATCGTAATATTGAAGCAGGGACAGGCCACCTTGCCTCAAGGTACCTAATTCCTGTTCAATGACATGAATTGGTCTCTTGTCACTGTATGTGAAATCTAGGCGATTTATTATCGCATCAAAATTCAGTACAGTACCAAATGAGGCCAGCACCGCGTCTGCGGGGCCCCTAATCTTGCTTCTTATAATGATGACAGCCTGATAATGACGAGAACTGCCATTATGTGGTCTGAAGATCTCGTAAGCGGCTAATGCTGCCTGCCTCCAAGATACATAAGATTCCTGTGCTCCTGCGAACTCAGGTAAGCACTTGACGGCATCTAGCGGCTCGTCACAGTGAATATCGTTTCTAATTTCTATAGCAGAATATGCTACTACTTGTGGGGTGGCAAAGCTTGTTGCTGCTATTTGTTTAGCTAACTCATTAATTCTTTGAGTCAATGCTTGCTCCCTCTGCTGGTTTGCAGCGGCCTGTTCGGCTAAGGCATTGCTGATGGCCGTTCTTACTACTTCCCTAAGCTGATCTGGATCCATTCTATCTGATGGTGGAGGAACTGCCGGTATAAGTCTTGTAGACGGAACTCTGATACGAGTGTCACAGTCGGAATCTGAGTCGCTAGATTGCTCGCGAGGGCTTCTATATTGGCTGAACCGTGGCATGCGCAGGCCAGTGGCCGCGAAAAATTAAACGGGCCGTCAAAAGATGGGTCGAATTAGACACATAGAAAGTAACACTAAGTATTTTTATCAGCCTAAATTCTCAGAGCAGCCACTCTCACGTATTTCAGAAACTTGGTTCTGATTATTATAATCTAATCTGTTGCAATACGAAATACTCACTAGTACTAACAAATTTTTTATAAAGTAAATTTAAGAAATTTTGTGTTTGAAAAAAAAATGTTGGCTGGAGTATCCACTTACATGATTTAAATTCCAAAAAAAAAAAAAAAATTTTTTTTTTTTTTTTTTTTTTTTTTTTTTTTTTACGTTGGGCGCCAATTAATATGTTGCTGGTCCAGCGATGAACTAGGCGTCGGTGGCAGGTCCAGCGTTGATCGGGTATTTATAGTCTTAATCAATAAGTTGCTGGTCCAGCTATGAGCTAGGCGTCGGTGGCAGGTCCAGCGTTGATCGGGTAATTATAATCTTCTTATGATGATTATGTTGGAGGGTTTGACTTCACCCCCTTTTCTATTAACTGGCCTTGTGGCTCAGCAATGATCAGAAATATAACAATTTGATTACGGCGGTGTGCCGGAGTAGTGCGGGTTTATTCTTCAAACTTCAATGCAAAACTGATTTTTAGCTACATAGAATATTTCACTTAAGCTAAGCCAAAACTCGCATCACACCACAATGTCATGGTCGGCAAGCCGACTCAGCAATCTTAGGCAATAACGGAAACTCTTGCAGTAAACAAAAGTATCTGGTTACCGCCGCTGACCATTGCAGTTATAGCGCGCTGATACAAAGTATGCAGTGTCGCAATTGCGAGGGCTGTTTCTTAACTTACGAAACACGCGATAGCGAGGGTTGATTATAAACTTATGAAATACCCTATATTAAATGTTATGTGTTAACTTATATATTTAAAAGTGTTCCAGGAATTCTCGCAAATACTTTTCTTATTAATTTTTTTTGTTTTTTTTTTTTTGTAATTTGCTATAGTGATCCATCCAGAGTTATTTCTTTTTAATTTGTCGAAATTATTTCATTTCATCTCAATTTCAGAAATTCTCTTAGTAAACCTTTTATAATTTTTTTTAAATTCATATTTTGCAGCATATTAATTTTCGCTTCTTTATTCGCCTTTTATCTTGTCCAGCTACAGTTAAATTTGCTTCATTAATTAAATACTCCTCTCAAGGCCATTGTTTATTAGCTTGTACTTACAATATTTGCCGGGTCATGCAACTAGTAGTTAACTGTACTTTGAAGAGCCTCTCAAACTGGTTTAACTTTTAACTGTACTTTGAAGACACTGAACTTGGGCCAGCCGCCACCATTTGCTGGTGGCGGCTCAGCTTTAATTTACTTAATAATAAAAATGTTTTTTTTTTTAACTTTTGTTCTTCACTTTACACAACTCCGGAGAGAACTGTGCCGCAACATGGATCTGTGCGAGTATTTATAGCTGAGCTGAAGCAAACAACCACCACGAAATGTGATAAAGGTTCCGCTCAACAATTGAAAATACTTTCGCACGCAGGCGTGCCCCGTTTTGCCGGTGGTCTGCGTGCCGTTAGGCCATAACAACAGAGGAGGGTTCCAGATACATATATATATTTATATGTTGTATAGGGGAATTCATTGAAATGGTAATGTTTATGCTGGTATTTGAGATCCCTCGAGTCGTTAAGTGGTGGTGGTGGTGGTGGTGGGTAAATGCCACCACCACCACAAGACACATACACACACGTACAAGATCTATGAGAAGTTGAAGGGTGTCTGGGAACTAGCTCGAGCAACCAGTTGATCTGCATCCACAGTGCATATAAATCAGTTAAGACTTTCACAAATTAGTTATCCTCGAGGCAAACTTCGAGAACTCCTTAACTTTCTCACGCTACACGCTGCGAACTAGAAACTGTGAACGGGGCGAGTTCTTTAGGGTGCAGGAGCTAGGGTTGACATTTGGCTACCGGTGGGCAAACGACTCACTTCTTTTATGCTGGTTGCCTGTGGCGAGTAGCTACTGTAGCATGCGGGTCAAACAGTGGGCTTCAGCTAGAGCAGCTGCCTACAAGCAATCGATTTTAAGGTATCATATTATTAAATGTATTTGTAGCTTATGCCACTTCGACGATAAGCAAACTCTTATCAGTCGCCAATGCGGTAGATAACGAATCCAATTTCATGTTTAACTCAACCTGCTAAGCAGTTCTCACTTGTCCGTCCACCGGTTGTGATCGCATAGTGAAGTCCTCGTTTATTTGATTTGGCTTTCGTGTTTTCTGAAGAATGTTGCGAATGACGTTTCGACCGAAATTGCTACATTTTTTATACCTTGTGATATTTATTTATTTGTATTTACTTCTCGAGCGCTTAATACTGCAAGTGAGTGCGTCAATTGATATGTCTCTGTCTCTCTCACTCTACAGTTCTCAATGTTTAATTAAATGAAAAATAATTTCAAATGAATCGAAGCAAAATGCTTTTCTTTTGGAATTAAAAGAAAATGAATACAAGACAAACAAAATGTACAGCAAAAGGCAGCTCCAAAATGAAAAGCAAAAGAAAAAAGCGGGGAAAACGTTCAAACGCGGTCACCGCACAGTGGGACGAGTGTTCAAGAAATGCATGTAGCAAAAGATTTCTTAGACAAAACTTAAAGTATTGAATAGATTGATATAGGAGAAATATCTATTGACTATTTAATAGATATTTCATGCATGTCAAAATTATAAAAGAAATATTTTATAATTTTTTAATATAAAATAAAAAATAAAAAAATTTTAAAATGTATGTATAAATAAATAAATTTATGAATAGCATACATTCTTACTAAAATCACTATATATATATATATATATATATATATATATATAAATAAACATTTTTATTTATCTATCTTTATAAACATATTTTTATAAAAATATTAAATTATTAAATAACAATCAATAAATAAATAAATATAAAAAAAACAACTAAAAAAAAATAAATAATAAAAATATTTTATATAAAAAAATATTTAAATATAAAAAGAAAACAATAAAAAAATAAGTAAGAAACATGAAAATATATCAAAAAAATAAAATAATAAAATTTTTAAGAATAAAAACTGGCAAAACCAAAATTAAAAAAAAAAACTTTTAAATGCATTAAATATATTTAAATACTTCAGAATAAATGTTTCGATTAGCAATTAATAATGCAGAAAATTGATATAATTTTGTATTTGTCAGAAGCTAAATGGACTCAATGTCCAACCACCGAGCCACTTGGCATTGATAAATAACAAAATTAAATTTGTTCAAAAATCTCTTACATATGCATATATATATACAAATACATATACATATACATATTTAATTATTATTTCTTTTGGACAGCCTAGACAAATGAAATGTTTGGAATATATATTTTATAAGAGAATATATATAATATATATATATTGTGTTTTCTTTGAAATTTTGCGTGTATTTTCAGTTAAAAATAGCTTTAAATTATAATGCCATGATACACACACAAATGTATACATTTTATATATATATATATATATATATATATATATATATATATATATATATATATATATATATATATATATATATATATATATATATATATATATATATATATATGCAGTCAGTGGGGCACTCCAATGGAAAAACAAAACATACAATTTATAAAGTCGACTCATGTTAAAGTGAAGTGCGTTTACATGCCACCTCCTCCACACAGATACACCACACACACACACACACACGCAGCAATAGGAAAAGCTACGTCGACGCTGACGCTGACTGCGCCGTCGACGCTTGCCGCCTGCTGATGACGCGTCAACAGCATTGCGAACGGCGCCAGTTTCATGCGAAACGTACGTTGATTAACTTGTTGCATACGCGTCGCCCGAGTCCTGCCCCAGACACTTGTTGTGTCTCTATGTGTGTGTGTGTGCGTGGGTGCCATAATCATTTGCGTATTGCGGGCGCCACTAAATGTCCGTCTTCTGCTGCTGCTGCTGCTCTAGTCTCGATTCCTGCGGCGTGGCGCAACCACAAACAAAACACTCGCAAAAATAACTCATTTAATTGAAATTCGCGTTCTGATTCAATAAATATTAATTGGAATGCGGCTAATGACACGAGCTGAAAGTGCGTGCGACAAAAAATATTAATTGAGCGTAGAAAGTGGAAAAAGAAATATTAAAAAAAAAAAACATGTGAAAAATTAGAAAAAAAAATAAAATTAAATAAATTAAAAATTAAATAAAAATAGTACAAAAATTTCGATTTGAGTTTAATTTATAATTTAACTCGTGAGAATCTGTAACAACACTGAAAAATATTTATAGCCCTATACAGAATAGAGCCCTCTTTGGCATACCAAATAGTCTAAAAATATTTTTAAAAAATTTTAGACAGCTTCCGCTTTGAGCTAGGTAGTTATAGCCAAGCTTGACTGTATTTGAGAGCATTTAAAAATTGTTTCCTTAAACATTTATAAACAATCTAAGGCTAAATAAAGTTGTCAGGATGAAATCAATTTCCTCTCAATTTATATTTCATTTAATACAAATTTCAAAATATTTTAATATTTTTATATGAACTTGAGCTCATTGGCCAACACTGTTCAAAGCTCCTGCCCAACACTCTTCTAACTTTTACGTCACTTTTCTTTATGTCCCAAAAAAACTTTTCCCTTGAATTGCTTCATTTTTAATGAGTTTTTATTTCGCTCGCGCGTCTTAATTTGATTTCTTTGAGTCTTTTGTGTCAATTATTTTTATGAGTGTAGCTGACTAGTCGGGCTAAGGAGGTCGGGGCAACCATCGATGATGACACTGAAAGAGGCGCTGCTTTGAGCTAGCCCTAACCCCCAGTCCCAACGCCTCCGCTCGCCGCATGTTATCGTTAATCGATGGTCGCCCATCAACAAAACTGAAAGCAAACAAGCAACAGGAGACGCTTTTGGGGTTGGCTGCGCTGTCAGCGGCGACGTCGACTGCGAAAGTGTATATATATATCTATAGACAGCGCTGCGAGCGTGCTGTGGCGACTCCTAAACAGCATGACACTTGTAGTCACGAGTAGGCAGCTTGGCGCACAAGTCGCATAACTGTAATTCACACCTGGACACTGGCCGCAGGATAAACGCCTGCTCGCTGCTGCTGCTACGGCTGCGTGTGCCGCTCGCAAGGTCAAGAGTGCCGTCGGTGCGGTCTAATAAAATAATTCAATTAAAAATACGTCGCCGTTAAAACTTGTATCTACAGAAATCGAATATATATATACATATATATATATAGAAATTTATTAAAAATGCTGGCGGCCCAAGAGAATCGTTTTCAATATGTTTACTTTACGCTCTCGGGTTTGGTGGCCTGCACCATGCTGATTCTCTTCTATATCTCAATGCGCACAACCATTGTGAGTGCCTTGTGTGTGTGCGTGTGTGTGTACGAGCGTGTGTGCTTAATCCTTGCCGCTTTGCCTTTGCAGAATGAACGCCTGCGCGATGATCTCAAGCTGAAGCAGCGCCAATTGCTCTACCCAAAGCCAAATCCCCATTGGAACTACAACAACAGCTGGCGGCGCATTGGCAACGCCTCGCTGAGGCATGAAATATATTCTGCATATTTCGATGCACGCACCGATATTGTAGGTGAGTCAAGTGAACTGTTAGGAATGGAATTCCTCTATATGCAGATGTTTCCTCTTGGAATATCATTTTAAAGGCATTGAAAGGTTTTATAGAAACAGGCTTTAAGAGTATTAGCTTTCAGTGATATTCTTAAGATATTTTAGATTCAGTTGTTGTACCGTGTAATACTGGAGAGGCGGGTTGAGCTGAGTTTAGCTGCCACTAAAGTTGGCTTGGGACAAGGCCTTCTGCAACTGCTATGCACTTGCTGTTCGTCTGTCTGTCCATATCTCTACTAGATTTACACTGGTATAGCTTATCTACTAGATACATACGATTATATAGACTAGATATCTACTAGATATACTAGTACTAGTACTATAGTCATTGCAGTCGCTGCAAATCAGACAAAAAACGAAACTTTTACATATGCTGAATATTTTTTGGTTCAGTTTAGACTAGACTCAGCAGTTTTGTATAGCTTGTTAAGTGGAAAAATCTATAAGCTATTAAATTATACTTTTAGAGCTAGAATGACCCAGCTTTGCATGTGTTCGCTAAATGGATTAATAAGTTATGCTTATGGGTGACCTATGGAGGCATGAGGCTTAGCAAGCTCTTGTTGGAATATGAACGAGTATTATTGTCATATATGTATATTGTTTTATATATAAATATATATACACTTGCTTAACAGTTTTAACAATTTAAATTTAAATTAAACAATTCAATTTAACAATTCAATCTGTCAAGAAATATAAGCATCAGGCAACTAGCAACTGTCATGAAGTATAAGCATAAAAATTAAAATAAATGCAATAAATAAAATAAATTCAATAAATACAATAAATTAAATAAATAAAATAAATAAAATAAATAGAATAAATATAAAAAACCAAATTAGTAAAATAAATAAAATAAATAAAGCAATAATATTTTCAATTGAATTTTTACAATAACAAATATTTTTAGAATAAATTCAAATACTTATAAACGAAGTCAGTGAGTTTTTAATGTGTTCAGTTCAAAACAAAATATATATCAAATATTTATATATAGTCTAAAGTCAACAAATTTCTTATGATGTTCTTTACCTTTATGCAGATTTACTACAGTCACTGTTGAAGCCTTGCAATTATTGGCATAATCAAATTCAATTCCTGAGTAACTTAAGCATTTGCTTGCCAGATCAAACAGTAAACTCTTAATCTAGCACTAATCTCTTTTGGGTTTCTCTCAAATATAATCAGCACATCATAAACATAAATATCAAATACACAAATGACATTTGCCAGCTCAGTTCTACTATATTTAGTCGCTGATGTGAATTGAAACTTGATTTTAAGGCAACTTTTGCTGACTCACAGCGAGCCAAAAACCAGAATAAATGTGCCAAAATGTTTGCAAAAAAAAAAAAACAAAAACAAAAAATAGCAAAGAAGAAGAAGAAAACTTTCTAAGCTTTATAGAAATGCAAAAGGTCATCAGCATTAATTGGAGTATTCTTCACACAGTTTGGCCGTTCTTAGAGCGACTTTAGAAATTTCTTTTAGAATAAAAGTTTTCATTTTGCCAGAGGCTCAGCAGCAGAGGGTATGTAAATGTAAATTTCGATGATAATAAAAAACAAAACACATTCATTTATCATCATAATAAAATCAAATTATTTTGCTGACTGAGAAACTTAAGAATTTTGATTATGCGACATGGAAAAATAATTTACTAAGTTAGCGGGGGTAGAAGAAGTTGCGAAAGTTGAGCCAGGGAGTTGCCATGAACTGAGCATTGTTGGTTTAATAGAATGAGATGAATATATATATATATATATAAATAAAAAAAATATATAGATATATAGATTGTGTCTATATGACATCAGAGTACTATTTACTTAGGCTTCTCGCTCTTTACTTTAGAGTAAAGTATTTTTCTTACTTACAGCTCTCGATGCTGTTCAGTCTAGCTGTGAGTCAGCTAACAAACTCTTTCTTGCCTTCTAAGTCATGTGTACCTAAATGGCATTAGAGTACCATTTACTAAGATGTTTAATTCTTGCTTTAGTCCGTCTCTCTCTCACTTTCTTGCTCTGCTCTCGACATTTTTTTTATTTAAAATTTTATTTAGTTACAGCGTATTGTCTTAGACTCTATAGCGCATTTAGCTCTAAACCTTAACTAATGGGAGGGCAGATATGCCAATTATTCTGCACTTATTGCTACTATCTTAACTAGTTCTATTCTTTGTATTTAATCTGCATAAATGTGTACCTTAATGGTGCTAGCTTTGCTTTGATATATATTTCTATATCTCACTTTTTAGTCCGTTTAACTAATTCGCTCGACAGAGCTACTTCTTATTACGGGTCTCATTACACTACAATAGACCAAATCTGATGCTTTCCTAAATAGTACGTAAACATGTACCTAAACAGTATGGTACATTGATAGGTTCTCAAATTTATTGGTACATTTATATGTACCTAAACTGTGTGGTACATTTATATGTACCTAAACTGTGTGGTACATTTATATGTACCTAAACTGTGTGGTACATTTATATGTACCTAAACTGTGTGGTACATTTATATGTACCTAAACTGTGTGGTACATTTATATGTACCTAAACCGTGTGGTACATTTATATGTACCTAAACTGTGTGGTACATTTATATGTACCTAAACTGTGTGGTACATTTATATGTACCTAAACTGTGTGGTACATTGATATGTACCCAAACTGAATGGTACATTGATATGTACCTAAAATGTGTGGTACATTGATATGTACCTAAAATGTGTGGTACATTGATATGTACCTAAAATGTGTGGTACATCGATATGTACCTAAAATGTGTGGTACATCGATATGTACCTAAAATATGTGGTACATTGATATATACCCAAAATGTATGGTACATTGATATGTACCTAAATAATATAGTACATTGATATATACCCAAAAGGTAGGGTACTTTAATATGGTACTTATGTACCTAAGTAGTATGGCACATTGAAACCATTTAGGTACCCATTTGATTACTACAGCGACTAAGTTTGGATTAAGTCTATTTCGTTCTATTACCCACTCTCAAAAGCCTTCTTCTTTACAAAGATAAGGCCTATTACAGTTATAAAACTTTCACATTTAATTCACATTGATGACCCTTACTTTCCTTAGAGCTCACTCAGCAACCCTCTCTTTCCATTGCCTGCACCTACTTTGCTAAAAACTCACTTAACTACCCTCGCATTCGTTTCACAGGCACCGTTCGACTGGATGAGGAGATCACAGTTGGTTCGCTGCGTGTTTTTGCCATTTTGCCGGAGCGACTGCGCGACTCGCGTATCAGTTGCATCGTGCGCTTCGCGGACTTCAGCAGCTATGAGATTGTGGCCGAGGAGGCGGGTGCCATGCACGACGTGCACAACAATAGCTTTGCGGCTTGGAGCATCATGTGTCCGCTGCATCTGGCCAAGAGCACGCCTATGCAGCTGCCACAGGCTGTGGCACTTAGCTACGCCTCCAATCGCCTGAGTCACCTGAGCCCGACTTACGTGCAGATCAGGTGAGTTGGCCGGGATCTATGGAAGACTTCTACTAATCGACACGCTTCCTAGTTACCCACGAAATATGTCGGAGCTGTTAACGAAGTCGCGTGCCACAATTTCCGTCTGCGTCGGTCCCATCCAGGAGAACTACTCGAATGTGCTGCGCCTGGTTGAGTTCGTGGAGATGTATCGATTGCAGGGCGCGACGCACTTTTACTTCTACTACGTGGAGGCCAGCGAGGAAGTGCGTCGCGTGCTGGAGCACTATCGGCAGAAGGGCCTGGCCGACGTCTTCGAGTGGAATGTGCAGTCGCATTTGCAGGATCTGCACTACGCCGGAATTGTGGCGCAGTTCAATGACTGCGTCTATCGCGCCAATGTCGTGGACAACTATCGCTACGCAGCTGTCGTCGACTTGGACGAGGTGCTGATGCCCTTGAAGCACAACTCGCTGGCGGACTATTTGCGCCAGTGCGACGAGGGCCGCACCTCGGGCTTTGTCTTTCGCAATGTGTTCTTCTATCGCAAGGATAGCAACGATACCTTCAATGCACCGGGCCACACGATGAATCGCGTGCTCTACACGCAGTCGAAAGTGCGCCGCACGCTGGAGGTGCTGCCCGCTTACATAAGGAGCAAGGTCGTCGTCAACACGCGCGGCATTGTGGAGATGGGCAACCATCAGGTGTACCGCTCGGCACCCGGCTACGTGGATCACATAGTGCATCAGACGGTCGGGCTGCTCTTTCACTATCGCGACAAGTGCATCAATTGTAAAATGGTGCTGATTGTGGACTATACGGCGCGACGCTTCGGTTCGCTGCTATTCGATCGCGTTGATGCCACATGCCTCGAGGTCTTCATGCAGCGACATGGCATCTGCCAGCTGGCGTAGCCGCAACTGTGCCTTATCACCGTTGGCGTTAACGCCCCTCGGATTGAGCGCTGAGCGACGAGCGCCCCATACATTCACTGATGTCCAGTCTGGAGTCAACACTTGCAACTGCAACATGCTTAAGTTTTGTTCGCTGCGTCGCGGACAATCGAAGTCGTCGCCGTCGCCGTCGTCGGCGCCGCCTCTGCCCACCAAGCGCGTCTCAAAAAGTGTATGAGAAATTATGTGCTTATGTTACAACTAAATAATAAATCAAATGTGCTTTAAGTTATTTAAATATACAGAAATATATATATATATATGTAATATATAGAAGTAGAAATTGAAATTGATTTCGTTTTGGCCTTTGCAGTCGTCGTTGCGCCTGCAGAATGTCGCCTTGAGCGACGCGCAGCTGTTAAATGTGCTCAGGGCGCAGCGTGCGCGAGGCCCTCTAATACTGGCGCTCAGCAGGTGAGCAACAACTAACAACAACAACTAGCAACAGCAACAACAAAGCGAAATCGCATTTGCTTAATTTAATGAGCTTTCAGTGCACAAACAACAACAACAACAATTGCTGAACAGGAAACGGAAGTGGCGTCTTGCCAGCATTGCGGCACGCCGTATTCAACCCGCAAAACCCAAGCACTACAAAATGGCAGCGCAGCAGCAGCTGCAGCAGGTAAGCTAGCAGCAACCTAACAGCTCAATAACAGAGTTTCGGCGAGCACTAACAGTTGTTAAAAGCGCATTAACAGAGCTCTGTTCTCGTTAACAGCATGGCACTTACATTAACTTTTCGTGTGCTTGCTTTATTTTTATTGCTATAAAGAATACAAGTAGATCCACTTAAGGCCTATTTGCCACAGCTCTACTTAACATAATGTCAACTAGTTATAGAAAGCGCATAAATACTTAATATATGCACATTCTTTAGGCAGGTAGATAGCGCTGTTTGGTTAACATTTAATTTTGGCTTTAAATTATAAAAATCATACAAAACTGGCTTGCTTCATTTTTGTATTTAGTTAAATATATTATATAATATATAATATATAATATATAATATATAATATATAATATATAATATATAATATATAATATATAATATATAATATATAATATATAATATATAATAAATTTTTAAAGTTTTAAAATTATTTTTAAAAAATACTAACTATTTTAAGCTACGATTTATTTTTTTTAAATAAATATTAATATTTTTTAATTATAATTTATATATAAAAAGTTTAATTAAACTAAACTAAAATTAATTTTAACTTTCTTAAATATATCTACATTTTTTAAAATATATCTACATTTAAAAAAGTATAATTATAAAAAAATACATAAAAATAATGTAGAATATCCCTAATCTATTTAGATCTGCTCTTTCAAGAGATATAAAAATAAATTTACATTTTTTGTTTCAATTAAAATTTATTGTAAGGACCTTAAGTTAATTTAAAGCTGCTGTCAGGCTGCTTCAAGCAGATTACAATTGACGCCAATTGACGGTATCGCAACAGTCAACTCATATCCTGGCGACTGCATTTGTTATCCTTCACTGTCCTTTGGATTGTCAGTCGATTGACAGGCGCTCGGACTGCAGCTGCTGCACTAGTCAAGTGCTGTCCAGTGGCACTACGAGTGAGCTCATTATTAACAACTGAAGAGCTCTAACTAGCCGCATGCCTGCCTCTACCTCCCTCCCTCCCCCTGTTCGACTTATTGTCATAAAGTTGTTGCTGTTCGCTCTGGCGTTCTTCCTCTTACCCTAATCCTATGTGTTTCGAGCGAACATTTCAGCGCATAAACGAAAACAAACCATAAAAAAAACTATATATATATATATATATAACAAAAGCTGAAAAACAGAAAAACTATGCAACACTCGCCTCGCTGGGGCAATAATAACTGTCGTCTGTCTATATGCTGTCTGACCTCGCGACCCCTTTCATGTATGTACGCCTAGTTGCCTAGGCACGGGCACAATTGCTGAGTAAAATATGTAGAGGGACAGAGGGCGGGGAACACGCCCCTGCCGCTGACTGTTGGAGCGTCGCTTGCGAATGAAAGGGAAATGTGGAAGAGCAAAGACTAAAGCGCCCAAAGCCGGCAACAGGCAAATTCAAATGCCACCTAAACAAGCAACTGAGTGGGGTATATTGGGCTGTTCTAATAAGTGGAGCAGATGATGTTGGTGTACTTTACAGTCTAGACTTTTTATACTATTCAAAATGCTTATCAATTTTCTTGGAATTGCATATTCAAATTCATATAGTAGGCGAGGTCTGTTCAAAAAGTATCGCTAAATAATAAGGACTGGCTGAAGAGTAATTTGTCCTAGATAAATAGGTCGAAATTTGCTCTATTTGTGGAGTACATCTCACATTAGATGAAATATACAAAAAATATATTATTGTATTTTTTTGGAAATTTTAAAAGATATTTTAAGTTATTTTTAATAAATTACAAATTACGAACAAATTGTTTTTTATAAGATTCCAAATTATATTTAATATTTAATAGAGTATTTATTGAAGTTAACTTACAATACTTTGAACTAACTTAAACATATCTATTCTTCATAATTTAGTTTTAATAGGTATCTTTAAGTATAGCAGGCCCGCCAGCTTGATTTACGTTCACTTGCGAGGGCTGGTTGTGTAATTTTCCAAAGAACTATTGTCAAGCAAACATCATATTCGATTTAAGCAAATCGAAGTCAATATTATGCCTAATAAACGACAATCTTTCTTATTTAAAGCAATAAAACTTGACATACGATATAAGCAAATTGGCCAAGCCATAAAACGGAAATAGATAAAGCTCGAGGGCGAGTCAGTGATTTGATAGAAAATCGAAGTAAAGATTTCCTTGTAAAATATAAATGTGAATTGCCTTCGTAAATATTTTAATAATAATTAATATATTAAAATATAAAAATAATATAATTTAAAAATAAATTTAACTAGAATTTTGCTACTGAATGCATACAATCAAAACTCCTCGTACCACCCACGTAGCTGACAACACCACCCGCTATATGCCAATCGTTGTCATCATTCTCTGCTCACTCCACAGAATATGTGAGTTTAAGCTGCAAGCCTGGTGCCCCTAAACCAGATGCGCGCATGTACGAGTTTGAATGTGTGCGTGAGTACTCGTGCTCATATGAGTACTCGCTCTGTGTGTGTGTGCTGTTTGCTTGGGCTCTTTTGTTTGGCTTGGACAGCACAGCCCGTTGATTCTGGACAGTCAAGAATGATGGGGAGAGACACTAACAACATGTCCCCCTTCATCGCATATTCGGCTTGGTCTCCGCACCCTTTTTGTGGCGTGTGTGCATCTGTGTGTGAATTTATGCATACAAATTGGAAAATATATCGGATCTGTGGTTCGTGCCCGCCAAGCGCATAGCGCGTCGAAACTAACAACAACAGCAACGACAACAAAAACAAAAACACAAACAAAAACAAATCGTCAACAAGTCACGCCAAAAGCAAAAGCTAAAGCCGGCTTCAGCGCAGCTCACAGAGACCGAAGCGGACGACAGAGGCTGAATCTCAAAGCACCCACCACTTGCTGCTGCCGTCGCAGTCAGCGCTAGCAGCAACAAGTCAACAAGCAAGGCACAGTGGCACAAATTGAAATAAGCAGCGCACAAAATCAAATGCTTGAGTAAATGCAAATGAGAAAGTGATGAAGAATCGGATAAATAGAAAGATGTATAATTAATATGAATAGAATACAGAGAGAGAGAGAGAGAGAGAGAGAGAGAGAGAGAGAGAGAGAGAGAGAGAGAGAGAGAGAGAGAGAGAGAGAAAAAGAGAGGGTATTTATTTCATGTACTTTCATATATGCGTATATATACATATATTATTTAGATATCACTTAATAAGTGCACATTTATTTAGCATTATCTTTATTGAAATGATTATGAAGATAAGATTAATAATACTATGCATTTGGCCAAAGACTTAGCAGTTTTTCAAGCATTTGCGTACCACTGTACGATACACCCGGTTGCTCTGCCGCTGCCAGCGTTCGCGTCGCTGTCGCCAAATACGCCGTTGTTTTGTGCTATACGATACCGTAGACCGCCGCTATTTAGTTACTACAGAAGTTTTGCCAAGTCAAGTTGTCGGCGTGTGTGCGAGAGTGTGAGTGCGCGAGTGCGAATTACGTGAGTGGTTTTTTTGCACTTAACAGCAACAACAACAAGAGAGCAAACGATGCTGATCGCAACAAAAATAGCAAGAAAGTAACAACAGTTAAGACGCGCGCGCGAGATATTTTGTGTATTTGTGCTTATCGATGGCTAACCGCTAAATGTTACCCGCTAACCGCTACCCGCTACCCGCTACCCGCTAAACGTTAACTGTTTACCACTTGCAAGTGCTTGTGCCTTGCAGCTTAAGACTGCCAGCAATAAAAAAAAGTAAGTTATTAAATTTAATGCCCCTTGCCCTTATTTAACCTTATCAAATTAGATCGCAAGTTCAAAGTTGAGTTTTTAATTTTTTTCCTTGGCCCCCTCCCTCCACTATCTGAATCTATGCTTAGCCAAAACAAATCTTAACTGTGCTACAAACTGTTACACACGAGCGACCTTCGCTTCATTAAATATTTAAATCTAAGTGCGATAAGCACTTATTAGGAAATATTTTAAACCATTTATAGGTTGAAGATAGACCAAATGCTTGCGGCATATGATATGATAATTCATTATATACTATATACATATATGTATATACATACATATATATATATTTTTTTATTGTTTCTATTATTATATGCCCAATAACCCAGCCAAAAATGGTGCAAAATATGCGCTCCAAATTGTGTTTTTACTGTCTGTCTCTCTATTTATATGTGGATCTAGATAAATGTGTATGTGTGTGTGATTTTTAATACGTTTTAAATTATAGTGTGCCGGGTTGTTCGAGTCGAGTTTTGGTCATAGTTCAATTAATTTTCTAATGACCGGATGCATGGGACATGCCATGCAAATGAAGCTCGGCCCCAGCTTTTGGCTATTTTTATTTAATTTATTAGAATTTCTTTTTTTATTAATAATTATACAATTTCACCTGTCATAGAAATTTGGTGGTAGCAAATCAGAAACTTTCATTAAATCGCGCAATTCATGCATATTAAGCATACGCAACGTGCGCCAACAATGTAAATGGGTTGCGCTTAATAATATTTATTTATTATTCTGCTTTTGTTTACGATGACAACAGCAATTACAAGAGCCACATGGCTTTTGATAAGACAGCCGACTTTAAGTTTTTCGCACTGTATATATATGCATATATATAGCAACGAAAGTGAACTTCAGAATTTATTGTCAATAAAGCTATGTGTTTGTGCGATAGCAACAATAGCTCTAAATATTGTTTAGAGCTAATAAAATGGCAATTGTTGAGGAATTGACGTTTTTGGTATATTTCAGCGCTTCATGAACAAAAAATAATTAAAATTAAAATTTCAAAAATGAAAAAATTAAATTTTTAATGTAAATTCAAACTTTAACTAAAAATAAATATAAATTGTAATTCAAACGAACATTAAAAAGTAGAACAAAAATAAAATACAAAATAAATATAAATGAAAATGCACATTAAAAGAATAAATTAAAATGTAAAAGAAACATAAGATACAAATTAA